TATGTATATGTATATGTATATGTATATGTATATGTATATGTATATGTATATGTATATGTATATGATGTATATGTATATGTATATGTATATGTAAATATACATATATATATGTATGAATGGATGTAGGTGTGTATACATGCATATAGTAGATACACCTTAGGAGCGCCTCTAAGGGGAAAGCAAGCGAGGATTCAAATATATTTAAATTGATCCTCCCTATGGAGTAATCCTTGAATCTTTTGCAAGTAAATATTCAAAAAAGAAACAAACAAAAACAACTACAAAGACTGTCTGTGCATGCGAGGCGTAGAAGGCGTGTGGCTGTCAGCTGCTTCCTTGGGTCTTCAGCGGTTGAGCAATGAAAGTAGAGAATGGAGGATAATAATTCGAATAAAATGAATTAAAGTATTTGATTGAAGTACTTTTTATTTGGATATTAACAGCCTTTTGCAGTGGAAGCAGCTGCCTATACACCGGAGCAGACGATACACTCGAGAGTCATCTGTCGTTGCTCATCTCGCTGTGAGAGTTTTGTGTTGATATATTTTTAAAAACCAAAAAATATATAAAACTTTATTTTATTTTTAATCTTAAAAATCAAATAAAGCTTTATTTTCTTCTCTTTTCCCTACAGAACCATCTATACAGTACCTCCACTGCGGAGTCTGCAGCAGCTTGCTGATTGACTTTCTGTATATATACATTTCAGAGCTTACCTCCGGCATTATAGGATAAAGAAGACTGTATATTTGAGTTTATTATTTGCTTTTGTGTAGATTTATTCTTTTGAATAAAGATGCTACTTCCGTGCTCTGTGCAGCAGAGCTGCCTCTCTGGGGCCGCTGGTGTTACAGGTATGCGGGTATTTCTCAAGAGGATATTGTGCTTGTTTTTATTATTGTGTTTGTCTACTTTAAGTGTATCATTTGGACTTGAAGAGATGCGTGCAGTGGTGGCTGAGGGGGAGGGTGAGTATGCAGAGGAGGCTAAGCAGGAAGAGCAGCAAGAAGAGCTTTCTTTTCAAGCTTCAACTCCTCCTTACAGCTTACATGAAATTCAAGAAGTATTAGAGACATGGTGGCCATCATCAGCGGTGTTTGACTTTGATGCAGCTCTGCATGCAGCTCGTCGAAAGGCTAAGAAGCCTCTGGGGTTGTGGGGTATAGAGACAATTGATAGAAAAGAACTTGTTCGTTTATTAAATTTAGAGATGGAGAGGTTTGTAGCAAAACAATATGCATTAATAAGACAGTCAGATTCTCTTTTAAAGAATGTACCTCTGCTGGGGGACTGGGAAGTACTATTATTAGTTAGACAACAGCTTACAAGAGACAGAGTTAAAACAAAACTAACAGATAAAGAGATTAACGATATCTTCATGGAGACCCCTCGTCTATACCCTTGGCTGCCTAAAGATGCATGCGATTGGAGGCCCCCAACCAACAGAACTCTTTACAAGCAAATGCTTCCCACATGTACTATTGCAGAGCAGCCAGATAGCCTATTATAATAACTCCAGCAGCAAACGAAGACAAAAACAACTAACCCTGTACAAGGGGGGCCCCTCAAGGGGGGCCCCTCAATCAGCATGCACTGGGGACCCCTTCAATACCCACGATGAGGAAGCTGAAAGAGGGTACTGGGGGGCCCCTAAGGAGATGCACTTGGGGGGCCCCTCAAGCTTTATTTTCAGGTGATAGGGGCCCTAAAGGATATGAAAAGGGGGGCCCCTAAGGAGATACAGTTGCGGGCCCCTATACAGAGCATGTTCAGGCATTAAAGGATAGGGTTGGGGGCCCTCTAGGCACCGTGGATTCTGTATGTGGGGGGCCCCTGGAATACCCTAGGGGCCCCTAGGGGCCCCCATCCTCCATAGTAAATGAATCATTATGCCGTTAAAGGCATGCATGCAGCGTGCACAGTCTTGACATATGACCTCAGCTGTCTGTACACCTCAACTGACTGCTGAATGCATATACCTCGTTTTCTGCATAGAGACACTGGGGGAGCCAGCCCCTCAGTTAGGGGCCCTTTTAGGGGCTCTTGCATTGCCTTCTGGGGGCCCCTCGTGGCACTGAGGTTCTTGGGGGCCCCCTGAGGGGCCCCCTAAGGGGCCCCCTAAGGGCCCCCCTGAGGGGCCCCACAGTTGCGGGTGAAGAGCGGAAGCCAGCGTTGAACAGTCGACTACTTTTTTTGTGTTGTGTCTGTACATTTGTTGAAGGTTTAGGGTTTAGGGTTTAGGGTTTGGGGGGGTTAAGATCAACATTAAATAAGTACAGTTCGTTAGAAACAGGGGGGGCCCCCTAGGGGCCCTATAGGCAAAGACTTCGGTGCAGGGGGCCCCAACCCTCAACACCTACCTTCTGGGGCCCCCTAATCAGAGGGGGCCCCTCCTCCTTAGATGGGGGCCCCCCAGTAGTAGGGAGAGTCAGGGTTTAGATAGAGGAGACAGAGACAGAGACAGAGACAGAGACGGAGACAGAGACAGAGACGAAGACAGAGACAGAGACAGAGACAGAGACAAAGACAGAGACAGAGGCAGAGACAGAGACAGAGACGAAGACAGAGACAGAGACAGAGACAGAGAGACAGAGACAGAGGAGACAGAGACAGAGACAAAGACAGAGACGAAGACAGAGACAGAGACAGAGACAGAGACAAAGACAGAGACAGAGGCAGAGACAGAGACAAAGACAGAGACAGAGACAAAGACAGAGACAGAGACAGAGACAGGGAGGGCTCTGTTTGTGTCTTTGTTTAGTATAGAGAATGTCTTTCCTTCGTGTTGTTGAGGGGTAGAGAGACTCTTTATTTATTTAATTACTGTCTCCTTTTCTAGGCTTGTGGGGGCCCTCACTCCTCTTCTTGTTTATATTTAATAAAGCTTTCTTTCTTCTTGTTTATATTTAATAAGGCTGTCTTTCTTCTTGTTTATATTTAATTAAAGCATTCTTTCTTATTAATGCATCTTCTATGAAGCCTGAGACAGCTGTATATACCCGACCCGCCAACCAAAGAGAGACAGAGACCAATGCCTGCACGGAGACAGCAAACAACAACAATAAAAATAAACAAACAAACAGCACTTCAGATACTCTTCTTTTTTTCTTTGTCTTTGTTGCTGTTGCTGCTGCTGTCTTGCTGCTGTTGCTGCTCCTGTTGCTGCTGCTGTCTTGTTACTGCTGCTGTCTTATTGCTGCAGATGTTACTGTTGCTCTTCGTGCTGCTTGCTGCTGCTGCTGCTGCTGCTGGTGTTGTTTGCTGCTGGTGTTGTTTGCTGCTGCTGCTGCTGCTGCTGCTGCTAAGTGGTTGCTGCTGTTGATATTGTTCTCTCTTTTATTTTTTATTTATTTATTCCTGTCTCTTTTATTTATTTTGTTTTTTACTTTTATTTCTTTACAGCCTTTTAAAGCCTCTCTGGCGTCGCAGTAGTTTACGTTTATTACTATTTATTAATAATAATATTTATTATTATTGTTGTTGTTATTAAATAAATATTATTATTTAATAATAATAATTAATATTATTATTAAGTAAATACTATTATTTAATATGAATTATAATAAGTATTATCATTATTATTAAAGAATAATAATTTTATTTATTATTATTACTATCTATTGTTGTTATTTGATGTTTTTGTTA